CGGATAGGATCTTCTAGACAATCTTCATTCTTTTGGAAAGAGCACCTTCCTGCCCTACAGCAGCTTGCAACTGGAAAGAGAACACAACATGCACAGAGAAATAAGGCCAATGAGCGTGAAACAGTCACGGGACTGAGGGAATTAACCACATCTGAGGAATGGAGTGCCCTCTTGTGGCTTTCCCTGCACATTAAAGTGATGTCATTAACGTTGGGTATTTATAGTCACGTTTTATCTTTAACTTACTAATTTTAATTTTTAGCATAACAGATAATTGTTTGCTTCGTTGTCATTAACTTTGTCATATTTTTCCATCTTAAACTCATTTTTAAATCTGGAGCCCTTATGAAGATGGCTCATTCTCTGTAATGAAGCACCCCAAAAACACAATACTGAAAATTTTTTTAAGTTTAACTAAATGCTAAAGCCTTCATTACATATTTATGTTCTCTTTCTAATAATAAACCATTGCAGGTGGTTATTAGACTATATCATAATAATTTACATATATGCCAAAACTGCTTATAATGTGACCGTTGGAGCTACAACCACTTGATTTTTTCTAAATTTAGCCTGCTTATACTATCATATAACATATAACACCTCAACTTTCCTACCATTTTTCTCTGTTCTTACTACTGCAAAACCATCTGTATAATGCAGTAAGATATTTGACCCTCAGTTGACGTCACACAATTATACCCACCTTAGGGTATTAGAATTGCATGACACGACCCTAGTACACTGCAGTCATTCAAATGATCCAAAGTATCCTCTTTTAAAATGATATTTTTCTTTTTTTAATATTTATTTATTTGACGGGGGTGTGCAGAGGGAGAAGGAAAGGAGAAAATCTCAAGCAGACTCCCTGCTGAGCATCGAAGCAGAGGCGGGAGCCAATCTCACAACCCCAAGATCGTGACCTGAGCTGCAATCAAAGAGTTGGACACTTAACTGACAGAGCCACCCAGGCACCCCTTAAAATGATATTTTTCAAGTGTTATCCCAATCAAAACAAAAATGTTCAAGTGTTTATAGACCTCGCACATCTGCACTCTCTCGTGTCTGTTACCACCCATAAACGGATGACTTTCAGTTTTGTATGTTAGCCTGGCCCTCTCCCCTGGACTCCAGACTTGTATTTGCAAAAGCCAGCACAACATCTCCAACTCTACATGTCACAGCTAACCTGTGACTTCCCCCACCTCTGGCCTTGTCCCCACAAGCCTACTCAATCTGAAGTCTACCCGACCTTCCTCATGTCTCTTAATGGCAAGCCCATCTTTCTATTGGTTTAGGTCAAAAACTTTGGAGGCATCCTTGATTTTTTTTCCCCCACATACTCATCCAATCTGTCTGCTAATGTTGTTGGGTCTACTTTCAAAACATAGTCAGAAATTTGTTTACTTCTCAGCAACTCCACAGCTACCACCTTGGCCCAAATGACCATCATCTGGCCTAGATTATGGCAATAGCTTAACTTTTGCTCCAAACTCCCAAGAGTTTATTCTCAGCACCGTATAGCCTATCGCCCTACCTGGTCTGGCCCTTGTTACTTTAGTGGTCCAATCTCTCACCCCTCTCCCACTGGAGGATGGCCCTCCAGCCACACTGGGCTCCTACCTCAAGGCCTTTGTACTGGTTGTTCCATCTGCCTGAACTGCTCTCCTGGATAATTTTGTGCCTTCCTTCCCCACTTCCTTCATGTATTTATTCAGCGAAGACAATTATAATCCCTTCTTCATATTTAAAGTTACAACTGGAGTTGACCCCACCTCAACATTTCTAATCTCCAATTCCCTGCATTATTTTTTCCATAGCACTTAGTGTTTCTAATATATTATGTGATTTATTATTTACCACTTTTTAAACAATTATCTGTCCTCCTCAACAGAATATAAGGTCCACAAGGGCAGAAATTTTTGTCTGATTTATTCACCGATGTATCCCTATTGTATATAACGGTACCTGGCACATAGCAGGTGCTCAGTGATATTTGTTAATGATTCTGGGTCATGAAATACAGACTTACATACTGACTTATTTTAGGTAGATTTAGAGGTGATTTGCAATAAGATTAATGAGATAGAAACATGAAAGGGTAAATTTAATGCCCATCGCAGAAAATTTAAGATTGGACTTCCTGGAGGAAATGAGAAAATCAACCATAAAAACAAGTATCTATTGAATACCTAATATGCTAGTGTACTTGCTACTATTGGAGTTGATTGGAACATAAATCGAACAATAAATCAGGGCCCTGATGTATGTTTGTACATTTATTCTTAGAATTACTAAATTGCTAAGTTTACTAACAATAATCTTATGAGGTCCTTCTAATTACTAGCCTTTTACAGAAGAGGAAATTGATACTCAGAGAGCTTGAGATATTTGTCCAAGACTACAGAGCTGGTCCATTAGGATTTGAACAGTGATGTGTTAGACTCCCATGCCCATCCTTTTAAATGCTGTACTGCTATTGTAACTTACACTCCTATGTATTATAAAGGGGAAAATATGCCAGTTCCTCATGAGAGAAAACTATTTACTTAATTCCTTTTTTTTTTTTCCTAAAGTAGGCTCCATGCCCAGCATGCAGCCCAATGCAGGACCTGAACTCACGACCCTGAGATCAAGACTCTGAGATCAAGACCAGAGCTGAGACCAAGGGTCAGACGCTTAACCAACTGAGCCATCCAGGCACCCCTATTTACTTAATTCTAATGTAATTCTTTTACATTCAATAATTTCTGAGCTCCCTCCCCGTCCCTGTCCTGAGCTGCTGACTGATTCCCCATCCTTCTCTCAGCCCCATTTCCTGACATGACTTTTACTTTCACCCAAATTATCTGAATCTTTTGTGGCACATTGACACCTTTTAAAAATGCAGTGAAAACTCCTCCCAAATAACACATATGCCTTAATAATGCAACCCCTATGTTCAATTTCAGGAGGCTTACGAATTTTCAAGAAGTCTAACCAGGTTAAATGCATTGGGTCTCTTGTAACAAATCCCAGATGCCAGCCCTCAGAGCCAATTATTTCCTAGCTTCCTAATGTTCCTAGCATTCTCTATTATATTGGTTGTGATTAAGATTAAGGATTCGGACTGGTTGACTGCTAATGTGTATTCTAGCCCTCAAATTCTTTTTCTCCTTTTCTCATTTTCTTCCTTTAGTCTCCTCCATATATGCCCTTCCCCCTAAGGTGACCTTGCCTAAAACGATCCTTTCTTTTCTTACGTTAATAACTTTCTGCCCCACCCTCCTTCATATTAAAACATTCCATTTTGTACAGTTCCTGGGAACTTTCATTTACTTGTTAGGTGGAATGCTGCGGGATTCATGACTTACTTAATAAAGCCAATTAGATCTTCGAATTTACTTGGTTGAATTTTCTTTATTTAATATTAGTAACTGTATATGCCATGACGTCTGTCTGTCCCTTTTGCTAATAAATAAACTGAAAATGAATCCAAAAAGGAGGTAATATATGAATGACAGACTGGTAATGTGGGGAGGAAGAATAATTTTTCTTCTACTCTTCTAGGTTCTTGACTGACACATTCCCCTCCCCCATAACAAAAGACAGAGTAACACAAGAAAAACAAACAGAAGTTTGACGGCATGTACCCTTCCTGTATTCATGGTGATGTCCTTTTGGAATGTTGGTGAGGTCTGTTGCTGGCGACCAAAAAGAATTCTTGAGACGTCTTTGGTGCAAAAAGCTGATTTTATTAAAGTGCGGGGACAGGACCTGGGGGCAGAAAGAGCTGTTGCCCTGAGGTTGTGAGGAGTGGCTGATTTTATACTATGGGGTTGGGGGAGCTTAAGGGAAAAGGGAGGTGTCCAAAAGGATTTTCATATGCTAAAGAAGATTTACAGGATACTGGAGGCCTTGCTATTATCAAGCTAAGGTTGTTTTTCCCTCTAGCAAAGCATTCACACCGAGATATTTGGAAATTTCCTGGATGGATGTCACACATATCCCACGGCTGGGGTGGGGGGAGGTTGCAGGGTGTCAGCTCCTGCTTTGACCTCAGCTTTCCTTCTGCTCCCTCATCAATGGGACTCACTCAGGAAAACTGAAAAACTTCCAGAAATGGCCAAGCCATCACCTTAAACACCATCTTCAGCTAAAGACAAAAAAAAAAAATAGGGGTGGGGGTGAGGGATATGCTAGTTATGGGAGGTTTTTCAGGCAAAGCACGGTAAACAGGGGTGACACGGTGAGTGTGAAGATTAAAGTTGCTACTTTCTCTATTGATAAAGAGTTTCTAGAGCTTTTTTCTGCTCCTTTCAATAGAAATGGCAGTGCTGGGTTAAAAAAAATAGAGAAGTCCTCAACTCAGAACCCATGTCAAGTATGAGAAGGTGCAAGTTCCCTCTGTTAAAAAGTTATACATAGACACACTCACTGACACCACGCACAGAGTAAACAAAGGTTCTAAATGATGTGGGAAACAAAGGCAGAAGAAAAATTATTAAATGTCCTTATGACTTACAGCCCATTGACAAGTCCTTGAAACAGTCAGAGTGACCTTCCTCTAGGAACTCAGCTGCCTCTCTCTTGATACTTTGCTAAGGGTTAAAGGCAATCTTAGCCTGACCCCCAGGATTCTGTTAAGTCTATTTTAACATATAAAAATTCTTTTGGAAACTTCCTTTATCTCTACTCCCCAAGATACATGTCAGCAGTCATCGCCCAAGCCTATGGCCCACCGATATACATCAGAAGGGTGTCATGACTAAGGTTTTACTAGACGGTAATAAATGACCTTTTCCTAACAATAGCTAGCCCCCCTCAATGTCCTGGAAACCTTGCGTCCAAACTCCTTGGAGACTTATGCTAGCCCTAACCCCCTCCCAACTTCAAAATGTATCATGGGCCGCTCCTCCTGACCCCAGTGCAGCTCTTTCTGCCCACAGGGCCCTATCCCTGTTCTTTAATAAAACCACCTTTTTGCACCAAAAACATCTCAAGAATTCTTTCTTGGCCATTGGCTTCAAACCCTAATGTCTTTCCTACATCACTAAATCCATCTCTGTGGTGCTCATGACTTATGGCATGTTGCCCAGTATAGTCTGGTTCTTCCTTCACAAGATGAGTAATTAACAAAGAATATAGGTGTTAAAAAGAAAACCGCATGGCCATAAAGGAGACAATTAAGACCCCAAATCAGTAAACCAAGATTTAATAACTAACCTAACTACAGTTTCAAACCCCTCAGGAATGGACCTTTAACCAGCCAACGTGGAACTTCCTAGAGGCAGTCTCCTGAAAGACCCCTCCCTCCTTAGGAGGGCAAACTTGCCTAAATGCTGCATTCCTTGCTAATTAATTCTTCTTCTTTTTTTTAATGCCTTCTCTCTACCTTTAAAAACATTTCCTTTCCTGCAGCTCTGCGGAGCTCCCTCTGCTTCCTGAATAGAATACTGCTCAATGCAAGAATCATTTAACAAAGCCAATTAGATCTTCAATTTTACTTGGTTGAATTTTGTTTTTTAACAGAGGTCAATTTTTTATTCTTACCATCATCATCATTATTTGGGGTTCAGTTTAGAAGGGTCCCAGGAATGTTTAGACTGGTTTTGTTTTTGTTTGTTCTTGTTCTTTATGCAGAGGAATATACATTCAATGTTTAAAAGGAATGTGTTTAAACCTGTATATGTCTCAGGCTGTTCTGGCCTAGTCACAAAAACTGGGCAGAATTAATTATCCTTAAACACACACACACACACACACACACGTGCGTGTGCGTAAATCCTCTTTTCTTACTCTCTGGCATTCTTCAGGGCATATTTTTTTTTCATGAAAGACTAGACTCTGTTCGAATTTCAGAGCTGAGACAAACTTGAGAATCATGTGTTAAGCCCTTCATGTTCCGATGAGGCATCTGAGACCTGTGAATCTCATGAGTTGCTCAAGGTCACCGAGTTGTATCAGCAGTGAGAGAATCGAGAGGCTGCGAGATAGATGCCCCCTGCTCGTGGTCAATCCAGGGCTCTGGCTCACACCCTTTAATCCTCTCAAGGGGCCCCCACTTATCGTGCCTGGAGCCGGGGCAAGCCCTCGAGGTCAGCACAGCCCGCAGCTCTGTTGACCAGGTTGCTGGCAGAGTTTGGGTGCAGGAAGCAGGTAGCAGGGTCCTGCTGTGTGTCAGCAGCACAGACGTAGGTGGCTGAGTCTGCAGGCTGGGATTTCGTGATATATAAGGAACTCCGTTTGATGGTCTTGTCAAAGGTGGCCCTCAGTCTTCCTGTCTGTTTTTCACCCTCATTTTCACGTATTAGTTGCAAGAAGACAAGGCTTCTTCCCAGATTTTGTGGGTACCACTGGAAGACCTCTGGAGAGTAATTCGTATAGTCACAGGTCAGCACAGCCTTCTCACCCTCCTGGATGCTCAGGGACTGTGGATTCTGTTCCAACTTTTGGCTGCTTACCCCTAGGCAGACACACAATACCAGAAACAGAAGGTTTAGCCACTACACTGACACTCCTTAAGAGTCATATTTTCAGGGTGCCTGGCTGGCCCAGTCGGTTGAGCAGCCAACTCTTGATTTCAGCTTCGGTCATAATCTCAGGGTCCTGGGATCAGGCCCTGTGCTCAGCTCAGCGCTCAGTCAGGAGTTTGCTTTAAGATTCTCTCTCCCTCTGCCCTTCCCCTGGCTCACTCACACGTGTGTGCGGGCTCTCGCTCTCTCTCTAAAATAAATAAATCTTTAAAAAAGTGTCATATTTTCTTTCCACAACCCCAGATATAACGAAAGATGAAGCAGAATGGATCTTGGCCCTCTCCCTCCATCCTGTGGGCTGGGTCCCTGGATCTCTTTGTCCTCATCACCAGGAAGCCTCCAACTCACAGTCCACTGGAAGCCACAAAATCACCAAAATAACTCCCAGGAACAGCTTCATTCTTCTCCCCAACTGTGGCCTGGTATGTGGACCCAGTCTCTTCAATCAAAAAGTCATTCCCTCTAGTTTGGTGGGTGTCACTGGGGCTCTTGTGTGGGAGGAAGTCTCTGCTTTCTACCCAATCAGTGACAAGCTTGTTCGGCCCTCTACAGACACTCACTGACCTAATCCAACTTGAAAGTGAACTGTTTCAAAGCTGAGGGAGGATCCAAATAGATAGGAAACAGCGCCATCTTGTGTTCAGAAGGTTTTTACAATAACAAAATGTGCTCTAGAGCAGTGCTTCTCACCCTGTGTACAAATTACCGAGGGATTTTGCTAAAACACAGATTCTTTTTCATTATGTCAGGGAGCAAGAATATCCTGTTCCCTACAAGGTCCTTCTAGACAGACTAAGAATCAAATGGTCATGAGACAGATTAATAAGAGTAAAGCAAATCTGATGTCGTACTTATGATGGGGAATCTTCGCAGACATGGACATTCCAAAGACAGGCAAAATGAGGTATATATGTCATTCCGAACTAAGGAGAAGGGGGCAGGGGTCTGGGACTTCAAAGGGAAGGAAAGTAATTGACAGGAAGATGAAAAGTAAATATTTGACAAGCAAATGTTTGCTGGACGTCTCAGAGACAATGGGCCATAGAGCACTTTGATCAGACAGGCTTTGTTAAGTTCCTCCCTGTCTACCATACATAGTTCATAGTATAATGTAGTTAGTGACGGTGATAGCGGTCTTCCTGGAGCAGGTCCTCTATCTAAATTCTTTTTAGGCAGTTGTTGGGGGGCGGGGTTGGGGAGAGGTAAAGAACTTTTCCTGAATCTGCTGGTTTTTGATTGCTTTTTAACTCAAAATAATCTTCATGCCAAAGTAGCCCACCTTGGGGCAGCCAGCCCGTGGCCCCAACAGTTAGGTCTCCAGTGGGACTGGATAGTCTATATTTCTAACAAGCTTCCTGGCCATGTTGATGCCTCTACTTTAAGTAGCAGGACTAGATGAATGCTTGCCTCGGTCCAGAAAAGGGAATTTGCAGTATTAAGGTTTGATACAGGACAAATGATCACGTTTCCCAAGGTCTCCATTCCACCACCCAAACTATACTGTTGTTTCTAACGGTTGCCGGAGGATGTCACCAGCCGTAGATTAATGTAAAGCACAGGAGAGTGCATGGCTGAATTCTAGGGAACTTGCTCAGATCCAGGCAGTGAACCTCCTCTCGTCACTCCTCCTGGCCTTCCCACAGGCAAGAAAATTATCACTTTGACTTCAAAAGGTCTTTCTTCTTGATCTTGTTGAGATAGTGTAATAAATACTCACTTTAAATCCAACAGAAACTCAAATCAGGGAAGTCTCCCAGTTCATGCAAAACCATGCTCCCTGAAAGGTCAATTATTTTTTAAAATACAACAGTCCTCTGATTGCATATATCAGAATATCTTTCCTACTTCGTTAATGCCAAGGTGGGTGTATTGTCACTTCCTCAAATACATTTAGGCCATCCTGTGGCCTAAATGAAAGAGGGATGGATAGATGGACAGACAGGCAGGAAAATGAATGCATGGAAGGAAGAAAGAAGAGAATGGGCTAGGGTATGCTGAGAAATAAAGCTGGAAGGAGAGTTTGGGTCTGGAAAGCAGAAGATTTTGAATGCTTGAATTTGTTTATAGGTTATTTATTAGCAAAAAAAAAAAAACCTACAGAGGCTTTTCAGCAGGTAAGTAATATTATAAAAATTCTATACATTTAACCTGGCTGCTTGTCCACAAGAGTAATTTGGAGAGAGAGGTTGATAGACATTGTGGAGTGTGTTCCAGTCTCAAGCTGTCCGGGCTCTGAAACTCACTCTTGCATTTAATCTCTGCCTGAGCTTGGGCAAGCTACTTAATGTCTTCAAGTACCAATTTCTTTGTGTGTAAAACAGAAATATCATCAGGATGTTATGAGGAGACATGGATTGACTAATATACATAAAACACTTTGTACGCACGTCATGCACAGTAAGAACGCAGTAAATGGGAACTATCACTCTAAGAAAAGGGATACAATACCCTCTCATTGTGACCCATAGTGACTGAACCAGGGCTCACTGAGCTTCAAAGCTAGGAGGGATTTTAGAGAATTTGCAGAAAATGATGGATTAGAGATACCTTAAATCAACTAAGACCTATATTTTAGAAAAGAGAATGAAAAGAGAAAAATCACTACTTAGCTTGTTAAGCAAGGATATACATTATCAATATCTTGGTGTATTACTTTCCAACCTTTGTGCTGTTCCTATTTTCCCTACATAGCAATATTAAGTAGCAATCACACCAGTTCATATCTTGATAACCATTATAGAGTCTCTTTATAAATACCATTTATTTGCTATATAATATTCCATTTGGGTGACTAAGCCCTTCCCCCCCCTTTTTTTTTTACCATTTAACTTGTTTTAATGTTTCTTCACAAATGGTGAAAAATACTAAAGTACAGACAAGGAATAATCATAATGTTGTGGCCAACATTATAAATATGGAATTATAAATTTAAAACATTTTCTGGTTTAAAAAATAAATCTGGTAGTCAATGCAGCTCTGCGGGGTCTCTGCGTCTAGTAGGGCCGGTCTCTGCGTTCCTGACGGTGCTCGCCTTTATCCATTTTTCCAGGTCCTCCGCGCCCGCCTCTTCTTCCTCCCATCTGTACCATCAAAGGTCCAGGGGGCCCACCAGGGCCGCCCCGTCTTCCTCCACCAAAGCCACCTCGGTCCATGCCGCGGCCACCACGGAAGCCCCCTCTGTCTCCACCACGGCCACCTCTGAACATCCCACCGGGACCACCGCGGTCCATGAGGCCGCCTCTTCCGCCGCGCATGCCACCAGGGCCGCCTCTGCCACGGTCACCACCCGGGGGTGGAAAGGGTGGTGGAAGGAAGCCTTCAGGCTTCGGGGCCTTACACTGGTTGAATTCTGTTCTCCAGGCGAAGTTCTGGTTTCCACACCCCGGATTGGGGCACTGCCAGTCTCCAGCTCGGTGCTGGGCATTTCCTCCTCCGGATGGGTTCCCTCGGGAACCCCGGGGCCCTCTTGGGGGAAAGCCACCTCTGTCTCCTCCACGGCCTCCCATGCGACCCATGGGGCCCCCAGGACCTCCTGGGCCGCCTGGACCTCCACGAAGTGGCGGCGGCATCCCTCTGCCCTCACGGGGAGGCATACCACCCCGCATGCTGTTCATTGGAGGCTTCTTCCGAGCAAGAGAAACCTTAAGTTTGCTCCCTTGAAAATCTTTCCCATCAAACCACTCCACGGCAGCCTTGGCAGTTGGTGGGTCTTCATAGGACACTGTAGCATCACCTTTGGGCTTTCCTGTTTCCTTGTCCAAGTAGATATGGATCATGGGTTGTCCGGTTCTCTTGTTCATCTTAACAACTCCACACTGCTTAAAGAAGTCTGCCAGATCATCTAGAGTCACATTGTCATTTAAGCCTTGCACATAAATTGCACTGTTGTCAGAGTCTTCATCTGGATCTACAGGTGGGCCTAGATCAAGATCTGGTCCTTCGTCCATGGGTCCACCAGGCTTATTGAAGCCACCTCGCTCTCCAGCGCCCATTCCACCGCGTCCTCCTCCCCGCCCACCTCTGCTCATGCCTCCACGATCAAATCCCCCTCTTCCCCTGCCCCGGTTATCAGGGCCACTCATGCTCCGGTTCTCTCCTGGTCCGGAAACTCCTCCAGACTCCTGCCCATAAACACCCATGCTACTGGGGTGGTCCTGTCAGAATGAACTCTGCTGCCCGTAGCTGCTGCTCTGTTGGCTATATTGACTTGGAGCCTGGCTGTAGGATCCAGTTTGGGGGGATAACTAGTGGGTGGCTGCTGCCCATAGCTGCTTTGTTGACCATAGCTGCTCGGCTGCCCATAGGTGTTCTGCTGAGAGTATCTGCTCTGATCATAACTAGTCGGCTGTGCAGAGGAGTAGCTGGTAGGAGGATAAGACGGTGGTGCTGGGACTGGCTGCATGGGGTAGCTCCCAGGTACCTGGGGATAACTGTAGTTACTCTGTCCATATCCTAGGCTGGGCTGGTTGTAACCCCCTGTGCTAGGTTGAGGTTGACTAGTCTCAGCGGGTTTGTTACCATCCTGCGGTCTTGCAGGTGCGGTGGCTGCCGGCTGCTGCCCATAGGCAGGGTAAGCAGGCTGAGTGCCATAAGCAGACTGAGCTGCATAGGAGGCCTGGGTGGTAGTGACCGTAGCAGTGGTGGTATCGTAAGCACCAGTGCCGTACCCCTGGACAGGCTGACTGTATGCCTGGGGGGCAGCTGGAGTAGTATAACCGGCGGGAGGCTGTCCATAAGAAGTTGCATAGGCGGTCTGCCCATAGGTCGCAGTGGTCTGAGCGTGGGTATAGCTGACATCAGTGGGCTGTCCATAGGTTCCATAACTTTGCTGCCCATATGCCTGGGTGGTCTGTGCATATCCTTGAGTGGGTTGGGCAGTGTACGCACTGTAGCCCTGCCGGGCTGCCGCTTGGCTGTAGGTACTGTAATCCGTGGACGCCATTTTCTCTCCTTCCTTCTCGTTTCATTCCTTCCCCCCTTTTTTTTAAGGTTTTTTATTTATTTATTTGAGAGAGAGAGAGAGAGAGAGCAGGGGGAGGAGCAGAGGGAGGGGGAAAGAGAGAATCCACAGGCAGACTCCTCGCTGAGCAGGAAGCCCAACACAAGGCTCGATCCCAGGACCCTGAGATCATGACCTGAGCAGAAAGCAAGAGTCAGACGCTTAACAGACTGAGCCACACAGGCACCCCAAGCCCTTCCCTTTAAGATTAGACATTTTCGTTTTCAATTCTGGGGTAATATAAATAACTTCCCAACTATCTTTGTGCATAATTATTTTCATATGCATGGAGGGTTTTCCTGAAGACAGATTTTACAAGGAAATTAATCTGTTTTTAGATTTCAAGTCATGTTTTTTAATTACTTTCCAAAATAGCTTACAAAGTTACTCTCCCACTAGTGTATGTTTATTTCACAGCATCCTGCTCAAATTCTGTCTTTAAATTGCTGTTAAGTTATCCCTACAACTCCC